TCCTCCTCTTGGTCGCAAAGTGGGCAAGTATCCTGGTGCGGCATGCCCCTCCTGGCCAAACGATCGGAAGTCCAGCAGCGGTTGCGAACAGCAAGCCATAGGAAGAATCGGCATTGCAGGGGGGCACGGTTCTTCCATGTCAACGCGGCCGTCGGGGCTACCTCTCGACCCATGAACTTGGCCACGTACACTGAGCGGGCAGAATATCTCCCATTGTGCTCCCACGCCCAGGTGATCGTGTCCGGTACTCCCTCCCGGAGTTGCACCGCGTCCACACGAGTCCACAGCTCCATGAATTCCCTGATCGCCGGTCCGTCCATGTCAGGGCCAACCTCATGTGCCCAGGATCCGCTTGTTATCGCCTCACTGACATGGAGCCGCTTTCGAATGTGTTTAGGGATGCAGGGGTGGATGTTTGGGGCAATTTCCTCGATCCTAAGTCCATCAAGCCACCTGTCCTCCCAAAACAAAGCGTCACTGCCATCACCAATCGTCATGTGCATTGCCGCATCGCATAACCGTCTGGCTTCTTTCGGTATTGGCATTGTGAACTCGCTCCATGGCCTCGAGCTGTCGGTCCGAGCTAGCCACGGCCACCTGGCCTGCATGGTCGTGCTCATCCAATTTATATCCGGCACGCCTAGACCACCGACCCACTTAGGGGTACAGACCGCCGGCCATGCCACCGCACAGTTGCCCCCATTCGCTTCGGCTTTGCCACACCAGAGGAATCCTCTTAGAATTTTGTTAATAGCCTTTATCGTCTTGGCCGGAAGCTCGAACGCCAACATCGCATGGATTGGCATCGCCGACAGGACAAACTGACAAGGAGCAACCGGCCGCTCTTCAGCAGAGCAGATGCACGCCATGTGGGCAGGCTTGCCGCGATGTGATCGACAAGTCCTTGGAGCTGCGCCGTGGATTGCCGGCGGATGGTCAACGGGAGGCCGAGGTACTTTATCGGGAACCGGCCAATGGAGCGGCCAAGGATGTTCGTGACCATATCCATCTGTGCCTGCGAGCATCTAATCGGGAGGGCCGCGCTTTTCGTCAGGTTGACGAGGAGCCCCGAGGCAGCAGCAAAAATATCTAGGATCAAAGAGCATGCCGGTAGGTCCATCCGATGTGGCTTGAGAAAGAGCATAACGTCATCCGCAAACATAGAGATTCTAGTCCGCAGGCCTGATGGAGCTAAAGGCGTGAGCAGATGCATCTCTGAAGCTCGCTGAAAGAGACGGTGAAGCGGCTCCATGACCAATAGGAAGAGCATGGGCGAAATCGGGTTGCCTTGCCGTAGGCCACACTTGTTGTAGATGGGCATACCCGGCACCCCATTTAGCATGATCCGTGTGGATGAAGTAGCAAGCAATCCACAAACCCACTGTATCCACCTTCGACCAAAGCCCATAGTATGCATAACCTCCAACAAGAACGGCCACTGAACCGAATCAAATGCTTTTGAGATGTCCAACTTGAGGAGCACCGCGGGGTCTCGCAGAGCATGGAGGCGTCGAGCAGTTCCTTGCACAAGCATGAAATTATCATGCAAATACCTTCCCTTGACAAAGGCGCTTTGGTGCTTGCCCACCAAGAACGGGAGCTCATCCACTAGCCTGGTTGCCATTATATTGTCAAAGATCTTGATGCTCCGTGAACCATGCTAACCGGTCTAAAATCCCGCAGCTCATCCGCGCCATCGAACTTCGGCAGCAAAGAAACTAGGGCTTTGTTGATGGCAGGCATGCCCCGTGTGTCACCACGATAAAACACATCCAAAGCCCTCATCAAGTCCAACTTTATGATGCTCCAACAGCTAGCGAAGAACCTGTTGGTGAAGCCATCCGGATCCGGCGACTTGTCCGGTGGCAAGGACTTAACCACTTTCTCCACCTCCTCCTCCATGAACGGTAGCTCCATGTGGGATAGATCGCGCGTAGGCAGCCCCAGGTCCTGAAGCCGCAGGGTTGCGCCTCGAGCCTCCACATGGCCCAACAAGTTCTCATAGTAGGAATCCACTTCAACAGCCATTCAATCATGGCACGTGATCAGTTGCCCGTCCTTCCTTAGGGCGGTAATCATATTCTTCCGCTGTCTTTGCCTCGCGTGCCTGTAAAAGAATTCAGTGCTGGCGTCGCCCTCTCGTAGGTGTAGAATCCTGGAGCGCTGTCGGGCGATGCCCCTCTCCAACGAGCAGAGGCCGAGAAGTTTCCTCTTGAGAGTTTTCCTGAGCTGGAACTCCGCTGTCGAGAGCACTCTGTGGTCTGATGCACTGTCAAGTCTGTAGATGAGTTCCATTGCCATGGCAATGTGAAGCTTAATATTTCCAATCCAACGGTCGCTCCAACCTTGCAGCTTCCTAGCCGTGGCTCTAAGCTTTTTGTCGAGAACAACAAACGGGTTACCAGCAGAGGGCACCGAGTGCCAAGCCGTGGCCACCGTGTCCATGAACCCCTCCGCACGCGGCCAAAAGGCTTCAAACTTGAAACGACGACCCACATAGAGATCAGCATGGAGGTCCAAGAGCATAGGGCAGTGGTCGGAGATCGAAGTACCAAGTGCTTTGAGAAAGCAATTCGGGTGTAAATCATCCCACTCATTGTTGTTGAACACATGATCAATTTTCTCCTTCGTGGCGTTTTCACGCTCATTAGACCAAGTGTACCTCCTGCCACTTAGGTATAGCTCCTTGAGTTCCAGCTGGTTCAAGGTGGTCCTAAAGCGGCCTAGCATCCGCCTGTTGATCAGGTCACTGCTTTTGTCTCTTTAAACTTGATCAAAGCTTGCAAAGTTTGATATAAATAGTTTTCTCTTTAAACTTGATCAAAGCTTGCAAAGTTTGATATACGCACATATCAGAGAGACCGTGAAAAACATATGCCCTTTTCCAGACACAGATGAAAGCGCTATCAACCCTCCCAGCAAAAGGACTTGCCCACAGCTTGCAAGTTTTTATCACTTAATACTCCCTCCGTCCGGAAATACTCGTCATCAAAATGGATAGAAAGGGATGTATCTAGGCGTATTTTAGTTCTAGATATATCTCTTTTTATCCATTTTGATAACAAGTATTTTCGGACGGAGGGAGTATGCTCAAAGCCAAACTCCAAAGGTACAAGGCTCGCAATCTATCCTATGCAGCGATAATTGTCCTCTTTAAACTCTGTTTTTGCCTCTATCCCAGGAAAAGCACTGGCCAGTAATAAAGCATTTAGCAGGTCCATCAATTGGTTTCCCTCACAATTAAAACGATCACCGAACAATGCAAAACCTCAAATAAAGAAAAGATGATTTTGTTCGTATAGAAAATAAGTACATCAGTTTTCAATTTTTGTAACAATGTAACCGAGAGACGCCACACATATTACGAAAATCGATTGTACAGGTCCTGTGATCTCTCTCACATCAACATACAAACAAGGAACAAGCAGGCGGCAAAAACTCTGTCGTGCTGCTCTGTTTTTCCAAGGCCAGACACTTCCACAATGCTTTTACGAATGCCAGCTAGGGTAACAATAATTCTACAAAAGTCTGAGCCGTTGTTTCTAGCTGTGCACCTTGAAGCAACTCAATCGTGGGAACAGTTGGATCAGCTCGTCCCGGCTCCTCTTCTGTCGAACAAGGGTACTCGTCAATCAAACAATTCATTTGCAGAAATGATACAGTAAAAAGTGATGGTAACTCGGACTAGAAAACCTATGAAATATTGAAGGATAGGGTTGTCTGCACAATAACTATCCTTTATTTACTTTTGAGTTTGATTCATTTTTATTTCCCCCAGTCAGCTTACTCATCCTCTTAAAAGGAGTTTAATGTCTACGAGATGGGAGTGTTTGGCAACAGGATTATCTACAACTTCATATCATGGTCGTTAGTTATGCAAAGACCAAAATACCGTTGTTATTTTTTTTACCTCTTATACACGTTAGTGCCTGGATCACATGAACCAAATTAGCAGGTTCTCACATGAGCACATAATATTTCAGTGCCATGGAAGCGAACTGAATGGGCTTTACCCTAAACAAATCACATGAACAGCTTCAACGTGCTATTTGCCGCGAGCCATCTCCAATGAACTACAATTTCTACAAGCTAATTCAATTAGAACCGCGGTTTGGTACAAGGCACCACCAAGGAAGTAATCTGAGATAGCTAGAATCAATCCCTCCATGCCATGAATAATTATTATCAGTTAGAAGCAATGAATGCTCAGACGCAAATTGAAAAGCTTTGACCTGCAGACCAACTGATATCGCTGCGAGGCAATACTACTTGCCATACTAAGATTAGATGAACAGGGATTTCACAAACTCGCAACTCAATCATGAGATGAATAAGCCGCTCCCTAGACAACTCACAGTAGCAAAACCAGATCTAGACAAAAAAAATCAAGAACATGAGAATTCGCTGGATCGTCCATTGGCTCCTAGATCCACCACCACCTCATACCGCGGAGCTCACAGCAAACCCCAGAGTTCATCGGGTGGAGGTGAAGGCCAGCGAGGAGATCTGCAGGTCAGCGTAGTGTCTCCAAGCCTGTCGAGACTCGAGAGTGGAAGACAACAGTGGGGAGATCTGCAGGTCGATGCAACGATCTTCTAGGCGCCACCTCAGGATGAATCTGGTGGATGAGGCGGTTGCCGCTGAGGATGTGGAGGATGACAAAGACAGCGAGAAAGAAGTGGAGAAGGGTTGGGCAACGAGCTAGGCACCAAATGATCTTAGGGAGAAATGCTCGGTTGGTGTGGGGGGTTTTGTCTAGTGGCATTCGGTGGGTAATTTACTCTCAAGTTCAGGGGCGGACTTATAACTGGAGGTGCAGAAAAGAGGTGGAGCAACGTCTTTGCATCTTCACTGAAATGCACTACAGTCTAGAGGCCCGTTCAGCTTAACTCCACCAAAAATATGGAGTTTGGGTGTTTGGCATGACTTCACCTGCTCCCAGCACAGAATCTATCAAGTAGAGAGCTGTCCCAAACACACCCTAAGATTAACCATCAAGCCTATCGCCTAATGTCATTCAGACAGCACAAGGCATATGAGCTAATTAGAAACATGATGTAGAAAATGCAGAAAGAAACTAAATTCTAGTTCTTTTACTAAACTGTACGTTGCTTGGCAGGAATGGATACAGCCAGATAAGGTTTCTCTTATTTGTACGGTCACGGCTTGTGCCATAATCCAATTGGATAATTAACATTATTTTGAATTTAATGGTGTTATGGCAAGCAGAGCTTTGACTTGAAAGCAGAGGACTGGTTGAGGGAAATTACTTTAAATTAGAGCAATAGGTTTCAAGTCCTCACCTTAATACCGGTACAGCCATTTACATCCAGAGTCGTGAGGCTATTTGAACAGGATTTTGACAAAGCCTCGAGGCAGGCATCAGTTACTCCAAGTATTCCAAATAAACTACATACACAAAACAGAATGTGCATAAGCCACAACAAATGCACTATCTTTAGAACAAAATAACCACACATTACCTTAGTAGTTCAAGGGACCGACAACCTTGTGCGATAGCTACCACCCCAACATCAGTAACACGTACGCACCTGTGAGTAGTGATTCCAGAGATAAATCACAGCAACTTCAATTCTTAATTTATTTAGAGAAAGTAAAGTTTGCTCCTGTATTACCAAGATAAATTGAGATATGTCAAACTTCCGCATCTTGATATACTGCTAAGACCGTCGTCAGTTAGGTTCTGGGAACCCTGAATTAGTGAACAAAATAGTTTGATAGTTCAAAATTCGAAGTAGATTTAATAAATAGTTACCTGGGCCCCACATAAGTCTAGAAATGTGAGGTTGGCTAAATATCCAATTTTTGTATAAGCCTTGTCAGTAAAACTGCATGATGTGAAGTAGATTGTTAGATGCTCAAGTTCACTGCAACACAGAATTATCTATCTCAGATATTTTTAATATTACCTTGAAAGGGCATACATGTTCAAGCTTTCAAGAGCAGAGCATTTCTCAAGAACTTTTTGCAATGCATCATCAGTCAACTTAATGCACCTATAAATTCAACACACAGGATATTTAGGTGTGCAAATTGTGTTTCCTGCCCAAGCTCGCCAAGGTTGTAGTAGATGAATGTTCAGAATGAAATGAAAGATGTGGTACTGGCATCTAATCGTTGCTGAAACTACTTCAGTTTTTGAAAACGGAAATCGGGGGCCAATCCCATTACTCAAAAAAAAAATCTAATCGTACCTGGTTATGTCCAACTTCTGTAGTCCTTGATAATTATCGGCAACTAGCTGTATTCCTCTATCTGAGATATTCTGTGTACATGTAATATATATCCAATCAGTGGGATAAAAAGCCACGAGAAAGTAGAGGTGGACATGTAAGATGCAATCTACTAATGCTTCATTATCACCCTGTTATGCTCAGCCCAACACTCCCAGTCAAGATGGGTGATAGATATCGTTCGCATCTTTTGTTGCAAGCTAAATTATGTTCCTTGACTCCAAAACCCTTAGTTAGACCACCTGCTACTTGATTCCCTGATATTACATGATTTAATTGAATTATACCATCATACAACTTCTCCTTAATAAATAAAGGATCTATCTCCACATACTTGGTTCTGTCGTGTTGGATCGGGTTACTGGTTATGCTTATAGCTGATTTATTATTACACCACACCTTAAAAGGACCTTTTCCCAGCACCTTCATTCTGATAGAGGATTTCTACCCATAATATTTCACCAAGTCCTAGTGACATAGCTCTATACTCTGCTTTGGCCATTGATTTGGACACAACTAATTGCTGTTTGATTCACCATGACACCATGTTTCCCTCCACCAATGCACAATAGCCTAAAGCTGATCTTCTGTCATCAAGACAACTCGCCCAATCGGCATCGCAATAACCATCCATATTAAGATGGCCATTCTTCTTAAACCCCTTCCCAGGACTGCATTTTACATACCGCAAAATAGGCTATACTGCATCCATATGTTCACTCCTAGGATCAAGCATGTATCTGCCTACCACAATTGCGGCATAGGCAATGCCAGGTCTTATATGCCTTAAGTATAGGAGGCCCCCAACAAATCTGGAATCTCTTAGTACATTCTAAGAGATTTGCAGATTCCAAGGTCGATTCTATAGTTCCAACAACAAGTAAGCATGAAACAGGAATGTAATAAATATATCCTCCTGATTCGAGTAAAAGATTAATGTTGCAGATTCCAAAAGAAAATAATAAAGAGAGCACCACCTATCTATAATATTTTGTATTGATTGCATAAATTTAGAATTAACTGCTTAGATTGGCACAACCATAGACAGCCTCATCGTTAGATAAACTGGAAACACTGTCAGCTGAAAAAACATGGTAGAGTAACAATACCTTACAGCCACTCAGATTCAAGTCGATTATCTGCTTGCAGTTCTTCACAATATGTAAAATGCTTGCGTCTGTCAATCTGACCACCCACCCAAAGTCCCATGATTAGAAGTGCAAGTTATGTAAAGTAAAAGGAAACCTACAGCAAGCGATGTACCCAACAATCCAATAGATCGACAGGGCCTGAAGATTAGGACAAAGACTGGTAGCAGCTCCAATCCCTTTATCTGAGATCTTCTGACATGCATTTAGGTTCAGGAGCTCCAACTCTTCTAGTAAGATAGCACCCTGTAAATAATCGCATGTCAAACCAGCTGCAGCTTCTAGTCATAGATAGTACTAGAAATTATGTAATAAAAGGTACAAAGCAGAGAAAATTCCACCGTTTCTTTCAGATGGAGAAAATGCCGGTCCTCGATATCTTGAGCGAATTCAAGGTTCACGACTTTGAGATGACGGTACCTTGCCTACACAAGAACGGAACAGCAGCCCATGTCACAAAATTGCTAGTCAGATCAGACAGGAATGAAATTTGGAATTGTAACAGTGTACTACTACAGTATGTACGGCAAGAGTTGGTCGATGTTATACTCGGTAAATATACAAGGAATGACCATAGAAATAGAATAAAATGTTGTCTGGAAGACTTGGGGAATGGGATTGTGATGATGATGATAACCAGTGAAAGCGCGGAAATGAGCCGCTCGCCAGCTTTCTTCGTCTCGTGCAGGTCGAGTACCTGAGAAGTATATCAATTTGGTAATGGTGAGAGAGACGTTTGTGCATCGTAGACTAGAGAAGTTATACTGAATCGAGAAATCATGCGTCAAGCATCAAATAAACTTCTTTTCCGCCCAAATCGGGAGCGCGCAGCGAAGGGGAGATTGCTATCCCTGCGAGAGAAAGCGCGGCAGAAGGAGATGGCCGAGGCGGCTGGATGGATGTGGTACGATACGCACCTCCCAGAGCTTGGGGTTGGCGGCGAGGGCGCGGTGGCACCAGGGGCTGACGGAGAGCAGGGCGCAGGCGTCGCGCTGGGGGAGGCGCGGGCTCACCAGCTTCATCACCCGGGGGACGGTCTCCCGGCACCACGCCTCGTCGGCCGCCGCCGCCATCGCCGAGGTTCGCTGCGGCTGCGGAGAGGGGAGGGCGTGATTTTTTTTTATTTCTTTGTTGCAGGCAGGCAAACTTCTCCTTGCCCGGAACGTGAGGCACGCGAGGCCCACAAAGGGTTTACGCCCACACTCGGGCCTCCGGGAGCCCTTCTAAGGCCTTGTTTGGATACACAGTTTTACCAGTACTAGTTTTCCGCACACTCACATAACCGCCTAACAAACTAAAACCATGTTTGGGCTTTCCACCAAAAACATGGATAAGCAGAATTTGGTTTCCACAAAACCAGGAATCTGCGCTTTGTGAAAAATGACTAATAGTTGTTTTTGGAAAAACACGATCGTAGAAACCCACCGCAACTGATTTTTTTCTAGTTCCACTTTTTTCGCAACAAATCCATTAGCGCTAATTTTACATTCATCGGGAGCTTGGATAGCCGGCGTGCATGCAAATTGACCCTGAGCATCAGCTCTCTACCGTCGGCCTGTACGTCCATGGAAGCGGATGCCGCCATCCGTGCGGGGTGAGTGGAAGCGTTCACTGCCGTGCGCGTGCCGTGTTGGCGAGGGGAAGTAGCCATCGCCATGCGCGTACGCCGGAGTCGTCAAGAAGAAGCGGTCGATGCCGTCGTCCGCGCGCGGCGAGTCGTCGACGGAAAGCGGTTGCTGCCGTGCGCTCACGGCCAGTCCCCAGATGAAAGACGTTGCCGTCGTCCACAACCAGCAGCTGAGCTTACCAAATATAGTTTCCTATAAACCGGTTATTCACAAAATAATAGATAAAACTGGTTTTCCTAGAAATCAGTTGAAAACGCATTTTCTATAATCTTATCGCATATCTCCATTATCCAAACAACCACTAAGAGTCATTTGAGTCTTAGAAGGGATGGATTAAGAGCTTGTCACTTGACGCGCTCTCAACAGCCATCGTGTGTCACGCTTTATACGCTTTATTTAGATTTTGTTTCTAGTTTTATTTTTCTGTATGCATTTTTGGCTTTTAGATAAATTTTTTTTGTTTTTTCAGCTTCTAGATTTTCCTCTGGTTTTTTCCTTAGCTTTTGATTCGAAAAAATTGTGCGAAAAACCGTGGTTTCTTTTTTTTTTCCTTTTGTGAGAGGCACGGCCGTGCCTCTCAAAAAGAAAAAAAGAAGGTATTTTTTTGGCGAGAAGTACGGTCGTGCCTTTTGGAAAAGGAAAAATATGTTTTTTTCCTTTGCCGAGAAGCACAATTTTACTTCTCGTGAAGGCACGAATTTGCTTCCGCGAGAGGCACGTTCATGCCTTTCGAAAAGAGAAAAAAAACACACGTTTTATTCCTTCCGTGAGAGGCACGTATTTACTTCTCATGGGAGACTCGGATTTGCTTCCGTCAGAGGCACGACCGAGTCTCTCGAAAAGGGGAAAAACATGTTTTTTTCTTCCGCGAGAGGGATGGCCGTGCCTCTTGAAAAAGAGAGAAAAAAAATATGTTTTCTATTCTTTTTCCTTTCGTGAGAGGTACGGATTTGCTTCTGCGCTCGGAAAAGAGGTACAGATATGCCTTTCGTGAGAGGCAGGGACTTACTTCTCGTGGAAGTACTGGTTTGCTTTCGTGAGAGGCATGCCTCTCGGAAAGAAAAAAAAAACGTGCTTCCGGTTTGATTTTTTCATGAAAAATAAATTGTCAAAACCTATTAACATTGGATCTAATTTTGAAAATCTCGACGCAAGGAATCCAATGGTTTAAATAAACAAATCTATGAAAAAAAACTCCTATATTGCGACAATATGCATCACTTGTCGCAACCTTGGTTGGACTCGTCTCGATCGGCTAGTTTGCCAAGCCGGCTTTTTCCTCTGCTACAAGAGTTCGTATGTAATTTTTTGCGGACGGTCTGGGCATGCAGAAATACTAGATGTGGACATTCATATAATCCTGACTGGTATAATGTTAGGAAGCTTGTCC